CTTTCCCCATGCTAGGACTACCCAGAATTCTCTATTCTCATAGCCCAAGAATTATTTGGAATTATAATTGAGTCCATTTAAAAGACATTTGGCATTTCTCCTTTTTGTACCCATAGCATCTATAACATTTGACAGATAGACGTATTTCTCCAAAATGAACCCAAATAAGGTTGTAAGCTATTATTTGACATAGATGTAAATGAACAAAACAAATTTTCTTGGAATTCATTCCTGTTTAACATAATTTGACTTTTGAGTATAAACAGCAATTTGCTTTTTAAAATGATTAAATATTAAAACACTGCAATCTTAGTCCCTTTTCTGTGCAATGGCTTAGATTTGCTCGAGCTGTATCAAATGAGCAGCCTTCAGTATGTTTGCGGAATTGGAAATAGCCTTAAGTAAAAATAGGTAGGCAAACATCCATTCGTATTTTCTACTCATTTTTTCAGTAGCAGTATCACCTGTCTTAAGACTTGTGTAGCAATAATAAGGAGAAGGCAGCATACCATTATAGTGCAATTTAGCAAGGATATGGTAGAAAAATGGCAGGGAAGATTATATTGATGACTTCTAAATGTGGATTCTTTTTGTATCTAAACAATACTTTTTGGAAAAATAATAAATAACCAGAAAAAGAGAATCACAATAGCAATAGCACTTGGACTTATATACTGCTTCACAGTTCTTTACAGCAATCTCTAAGCAGTTTACAGAGTCAACATATTGCTCCTGACAATCTGGGTCCACATTGTACTGACTTTGGAAGGCTGAGTCAATGTTGAGCTGGTCAGGATCGAACTCCTGGCAGTGAGCACAGTAACATCCTATTGTGACATAAGAGATTTGTGTGTAGTAGAAATTGACAACTTAGACCATCATTTTCAGACCTGGATCACTACTGGTAGATACTACAGTAGCTATTAAAAACTTTTTCTGACGTTGCACATCTTACAATATCTTTAATTTATATGTCTGTAATTATAACATCACACAATTAGATGGCAGCATCTAGTGACTTTGGTTGTCTTTTAAAGGCTAAGCAAAGTCAGATGGAGTTAATACTTAGAGACTACAAAAACTATTAGGGCTATAGGCTAGATAGCTAAAAGCCATGGTGGCACACTGATTAGAATGCACCACTGCAGGGCTAACTCACTACTCACTCCAGGGATTTGAGCCTAACCGGCTCAAGGTTGTAGTGTATAAGTCTAAATGCTATTGCTATTGCTATATATCTACAAAAGATGATAATGGTGAACCACTATTCCTATTATTGTCAAGAATACTACATGTCCCCCTCCACGAGCTTGACCCGAGGATGAAGAATGTCTAAGAATAATATAGACAAGCAGGAACAGTACCATAGTTCTTTTTTGAAGCCAACCTGTAAGAAACAACAAAACGATCAAATGGAATATGTAGAAGGAATTTATATATTTAAAAGATTTCCATGCAGCTTCCCATATATATATATAATGTCACAATGAAAACACTTCAGTAATGTTACCATTACTAAAAATTTACACTGAAACATTTATTAAGTTCGGAACAAAATCAACAGTACCATAACATTAAAACGACAAAAAGCAAACAGGAATATAAAGTTAAACATTCCAGCAGAATCAATCCATAATTCTGAGTCATGGTGGCGTAGTGGTTAAGAATGCAGTACTGCAAGCTATTTCTGCTGACTGCCAGCTGCCTGCAATTGGCAGTTCAAATCTCACCAGGCTCAAGGTTGACTCAGCCTCCCATCCTTTCAAAGTGGGTAAAATGAGGACCCAGATCGTAGGGGGAAATATGCTAATTCTGTACACCCCTTAAGAGACGGCTGTGAAGTGGTTTATTCCATGTTTTCCCCAAAATAAGACAGGGTCTTATTTTCTTTTGACTCCTGAAATAAGCACTTAGCCTTATTTTGGGGGAGGTCTTATTATTTTTGAGGTGCAGGAGGCAGCAAGCGTGGTCACCTCATGGCTGTGCTGTGTTGAATATTTTCAGGCAGGGCTTATTTTCGGGGGAGTAATTATTTTAGCGCATGTGCTCAAAAGCCTGATTGGGCTTATTATCCGGGGAGGTCTTATTTTCAGGGAAACAGGGTAAGTCTAAGTGCTATTGCTATTACTATAATTAAAAAGCTGGAAAAAATAAAGATATCTTTGTCTGATGTTGAAAAAGGCAGGTGACTACTCTGCCCTGTTATAAAGGGAGTTCCAGAGATAGCCAAACATCAGCATGGCCAGCCATTTGGATCAGGCCCTCTGCAGATAACCTTCAGATACTGGAAGGATAACTTTGGCTGGCCTGCCCCACTGGTCATGCTGACTGGAAATATGGGAAACCACTGGTTTTATTATTAATTATAATAATTATTTATTATTATCATATGCCTGCTCATTTTTAAGGATGGGAAAGGATATAATAAAAGCATATAGGTAAAATTATCTGCCTGCAATGCCCCTCCCAGATTCTGTTGGACAAATTGAGCACAGTTTTCATAAAATAATTAATGGATGCAATTTTGACATATAGATTTCAAACAAGGATTAAGTAGTATCAGATCATTATGATCTACCAGGACATCATAGCAGATCTCAAAGTGGCTGCTGTGAAAAATAGATTTAATTGCCTATAGGACCCATCCCATCAAAATATTTCAGATACTCTCAGAATATCTCAACAAACTCAGTAAGCTTTTAACGCATTCCAATGGCAAATTCATAAAGTACAGATAGTCCTTGACTTATAAGAGTTCATTTAGTGACCATTTGTGAAGTTGCAACAGCACTGAAAAAAGTGACTTATGACTGTTTTTCACACAACTGTTGCAGCATGGTATTGGACCTGGGTACTTGAGAGACTGCCTCCTGCCAGTCACCTCCCAAAGACCTATTAGATCCCACAGACTAGGCCTCCTCCGAATTCCATCTGCCGGCCAATGTCGGCTGGCGACTCCTCGGGGGAGGGCCTTCTCTGTGGCTGCTCCGGCCCTCTGGAACGATATCCCCGTGGAGATCCGGACCCTTACTACCCTCCTGGCCTTCCTCAAAGCAGTTAAGACCTGGCTGTTCCAGCAGGCCTGGGGCTGTTGAGCCATCCAGCCCCATTCGAGGTTACGGCTGTTGTATAATTTTAAATTGTTGTTTATTTTATTTTATTTTTTTGTATCCCTTCCCCTTTTTTATTGTGAGCTGCCCTGAGTCCCTCGGGAATAGGGCGGCATACAAACCCAATAAAATCCAAATCCAAATCCAAGCATCCCAATGACCACACGATCAAAATTCAGATGCTTGGCAACTGACTCATATTTATGGCGGTTGCGGTGACCCAGATCCCTTTTGTGACCTTCTGACAAGCAAAGTCAATGGGGAAGCCAGACTCACTTAACAACTGAAGTGCAGTGATTCAATTAACAACTATGGCAAGAAAAAGTGTAAAATGGGGCAAAACTCATTTTATAACTGTCTTGCTTAGCAACAGAAATCTTGGGTTCAATTGTGGTCATAAGTAATGGACTACCTGTACTAGTCATCTGTCTCATATGTAATCTGTATAATAAACCTGTCTTCCCTCCCTTCTTTGCCTCCCCTCCCCAGGTTCAAATCTTTCATCAGTCTAACCACTCTGCATCCGATAAATTGAGCTGCAGCTCAATTTTAATAAAAATGTTTATCAAAATTTGTTGGCTGGAAAAGGTGCTACCAGACTCCTCCCATGAATCATCTACTTTTGAATTCTTTTTCAGGCTGACATTAGCTGACCCTTAGATTACAATTTAAAATCTTTCTTCTTCTGTAAAATCTTAGATTACAATTTACAATCTTTCTTCTTAGCACACTATTATATGTTATTGTTTGCTTGTTTGTTGTAAGTTAGCAATAGCACATAGACTGATATATTGCTTCACAGTGCTTTTCAGCCCCTTCTAAGTAGTTTATAGAGTCAGCCTATTGCCCCCAACAATCTGGGTCCTCATTTTACCAACCTTGGAAGAATGGAAGGCTAAATTAAGCTTGAGCCAGTCAGAATTGAACTCCTGGAGTGAGCAGTGAATTAGCCTGCAGTACTTCATTCTAACCACTGTGCCACTTCCTTGGAAGCTCTACCAAAAGGCAACATATATCTCTCTTTTACAAGGAATGCCCTACATCTCTATTCAACTTGACCCAATTAACTTTAATAATATTAATTCCAGTATACGTAAAAATCATCCTGCAGACAAAAGCAAATAAATCAATGGTGTTATACTTAAGCATTTACCTGCCGGAATCTTTCCAAAACAAAGTAGGATTACCATTTTGAAAAATGTGAGCCAAATATCTATCTTCGTATGCCATATATATATAGAGAGAGACTTTGGATTATTGTATTATGTTCATTTCTACTAAATGCAAAAATGGCTTGTTCCCATAAAAACCTGGGTGAAAATAGCTTCTGTTGTTTATTTTTTAAACAACGGCAAAGGAATTTGATTCTAGTCATTACTGATGCGACTAAAAAGCCGAAAGCTCAAGAAAGGTTTTGTCTATCCGAGGTCCCAGCCTCTCCTTCTGTTCACCACCGCTAGACTCTGCCTTCACCTGGGACAGCTCAGAGTAGTTGGGCTGCATCAGCATACGGTGCTTTCCTAGATAAAGAGTCATATTGAACGGGAGAGTCTTGAAGAGCCAGGGTGAAGGAAATGTTAACACAGAGCAGGGCCGAAAGTAGAAGTACGTAGGTTAAGAAAGAGCCAAGTCCGAACGGCCGGAATGAATACGACTTGAATAGAACGAGACGAACTGTGTGGCCGAGGAAACACTAGGGGGCGCTGTTCTCCTTCCTTCTAGGCCTTTGCTCCATCGCGCAGGCCTTTCCCTACGGCTTCCTGCAAAAGTTTCTCTAAAACTAACAATACTGGAGTAAAGGGGGTGCTCGTTGCTGATTGGTCGGAGGATTTTTGTGGGCTTGATTTCTTGATTGGACGGGAGCCGCTAGGGGTGGGAAAAGTATTGATGGGGGTGCGAGCGCGCGCGCGCGCGTGCGAGTGCCGGGGAGGGGGGACCTTTCTCTCTCCCCCTCCCTTCAGCTTCAGCGGCTGATCTTGTTCTCACTGTACTCTTACTACCGCTTGCAATGTGACACTAGAATATAGATTCTATTTTTTTTCCTCACCCCCACACACATCACACCTCACACACACACACACACACAGGCACGCATACAGACACCGGGACATACCTATACACACTTGCACACATACACACGCATGCATGCACGCACTCACGCACGGACGGACCCACGCGGTGGAGTCGGTATTCCGGAGTGGAGTTGTTCAGGATATATATAAATATATATTGAACGGTATAGAGAGAGGGAGAGAAAGAAAAAGCGACGAGAAAGGAACTAAATCTGGTCCAACGAGGAACTATTTCCTTTCTTCTTTTTAAGTCTGCCCCCGTTTCTTCTTCTGCATCATGTTTGGGGCTCCCACGGCACTGGATTTTGTTGTGCTTTTCTGCTTGGCATCTGCAATTGCAGCTGTGGAAGGTAACAAAATATCGATGGAAGGGACGCGAGTGGGCGGGTGGAAAGAAAACTTTTTTTTTTTTAAAAAAAAGACAATATACGCCGGATTGTTCAGTTGGCTGTTGATACTCGCGGGAGGAGGGAAAGCCCTGCTCGGTTCCTTGGCTCTGCCTGCCTCTTTCCCACCCCACGCTCGGAGAAAAGATGCGGGGAACGAGCGCTGACTCCACGGGACGTTTACCCTCCCTCCCCGGTGGATTTCCCATGTAGTCCGGCTGCAATGCGGCTCGCCTGCCCTGTCCCGAGATCTGGAAGGCTAGGAAGCTGGGGGCCAAGGAAGGGGTTTCCAATCCTTCCCGCTATGGAGCTCAGAGATGCTACCGGTGCTCGGAAACCGGGCTCCGGGGGCGTTTGCGAGGCTCTCCTGCCCCTCTCCCCGAATCTTGCTTGAATTGAGTAGCGGGCTTTTCTCAGGGAGGGGAGCGTCGGAACGGTGTGTGGATGTGTGCTTGTGTGTGTGTGTGTGTGTGTGTGTGTGTGTGTGTGTGTGTGTGTGTGNTCTTGCTTGAATTGAGTAGCGGGCTTTTCTCAGGGTCTTCCTCTTTGTCTCTGTGTGTGGATGTGTGTGTCTGTGTGTGTGTGTGTGTGTGTGTGTGTGTGTGTGTGTGTGTGAGTGATGGGTCCGGGGGCAGTAGTCGGGTCAAAGCCGGGCAAGGTGTTTGGGGTCGTCACGGGGGAGAAGGCAGGCAAGGTTTGGCCAAGAGCAAGAGAGGAGCGAGCGGCTCCCAACTTAAGACTCTCCCGCCCACCGCTGTGTCGGGTTACAATAGATGAAGGGTGGGAATGGGCTGGCGTGGTGGAAGGTGTAAAGGTGGGGGACCCGATCCTTAATTCTGCCTTTTCGCGTTTCAGAAAGGAAACGCCTGGCATGAAGGCGCTGGGCACAAACAGGGCGCTCGCCAATTTGGCCGGTGGTTTCTTTCTTTTTTCTTCTTTTGCTTTGTCTGGAGAGCTTGAATTGGGGAAGAATCGAACCGGGGCGGCGGTTCCTGTGATTGCTCTTAACGTGGAACGAATACAGATGTGTAGCCTACAGGCCGTTTTCACCCGAGTGATTTATAACCGTTTATATACCATTGTCCCGGCCCTCGTAGAGGCGAAGTGAAGGCTGGTTTCGTTTAGTGGTTCGACTCGTCCTTCCGCTCTCGCTTCTAAGTGAGGCTCCAGCCCGCGTTTCCCTGCACTGAATCTTACTTGAAGCTCTTAGTCGGGCTAACACATCCTTGGGATGACTATGCCGGTCCCTTTCCCTGTTCCTCGGGGATGGGCTGGGGGAAGAGCGCAGAACCTGCTGCTGCTTTTTTATTATTATTTATTTATTTTGCAGGGGATGAATAAAAACTTCAGCCCTGCCTGGCTTTTGTCTCTCTGTCTCAGGGAGCAGCTGGGAGTCTCCTCTTTCCAAAAGAAAAAGAAATATATCGAAGACGGCTGCCCAAATAAACTTTCACCAAACGAGCGTAGTGTGGAGGAGAGGTGGGGAGAAACAGTCCCGGGGGTGGACCTCGGTGGCCATCGCCTCGGTGGCCTCCCCTGTTGAGTGGGCAGAATCGCTATCAAAGCTCCAGGCAGGATCCAAGGGAAGGAATTGGTGGGGAGGAGGGAGGCCGAGAAGGAGGTGCTGTTGGTGTAGCTTTGATGATGAATGATAAACGCGACCATTCAGAAAATGTTCCCCGGTTGCAATTAAAACAGAACCGCGAAAACCGCTTAGTTGGCTTTGCTCCCTGATTGATGCAACAGGGTCGGAAAACTTGGAACCCTTAAGAGATCAGGTCGTGCCTTCCTTAAACCACCGGACCTCTGATGATTCTTCACAGGGGTGGACTTTATTCTGTGAATAGCAGAAAGAGACACGCCAAAAGCCCCTCTTCCTTTTTGTTTAGAGCTGCGGGGATCCACCTTGCGGATTCCCCCCCACCCCCCACCCGCCTTCATCCGCGATGAAAATGACGGCTGAGATTAACTGGAAGGTAGCGACCCCTTTCTCTTCTCCCCCCACTCTCTCTTCCCCTCCTCGTCAGAAGGCGATTTTCTTCTTGCGCGCTGATCTTCTCCCAGCTGGTTGCTTTGCGGGAGCTCTTTATTTAAGAAATTGCTTAGATGCAAGGGAGGAGCCTGGCTAGCCGCTAAAGCAGAAGGCGAGCCCTCTCGAGTCTCGTCGTTGACGGCGGCTTTATTGCAGGCAATTAGACGGGAGGAGGAGGAGGAGGAGCAGCGACGTTTATAAGAAAGACACTTTCAGTGGAATCTTGGCTGTTTTGTTTCCCCTTGCAAAAAAAACCAAACAAATTAGCTTTTGGCAGCAGGCATTTTCTGCACTTAAACTAGGGAGGAAACTCTTCAGCTGGGCAGGATAACAGGGCAGCTGTATTTTTTAAAAAAAATAGGAAGGGGGAAAAAATCTCCCTGAATTTGTTGGACCTTGGAAAGGAGGGGTTTCCTTAGAAAATAGTCTGGCATCTTCATGACAGCCTGAAGAGCCGAAGTTGTTTATATGTCTGCTTTTGTTCTTAGACTTCTGCAAGTGAAGACAGTATCGTTTGTACAGTATGAGAATGAAAAGAGATAATAAACTTGAGAATGTCAGTTGAGGGAATGCATCTAGGATTGGGGATGGCTAGGATGGCAGGACCGTTAAATGGATATATGGTTGGCTTGTAAAATGTACCCATAAATGGTGTTCATAAATGGTTCCTCATTAAGTTGTAGAATCATACCCAGTGAGGTTGTGCATGGTTTAGCCATGGATCTTCTTTTTGCTTTGAGAAGGAAAAAAAAAACACTTCAAAGATAAGGTGGAGGTACCTATATCAAATTTGCGGGCAAAATGGATCAGAATAGTTGATGCTGCAAAGGGTAGTAGTAAAATTCAAAGCCATCTTGATAGTAGCAGCATCTGCAGTGATGGGCAAAGGGGCTAGACTGCCATCAGCAGCGTGGCAGTGTTGTGATGCAAGCCCCACCTTCTGTGTACATCACAACATGGCATGCAAGGCCCAAGGGACAAAGTTTGCAATGGGGTCTCACCATCACTCCACCAATGGCAATGAGTTCCTATGGATGCCGCTGTTCAGTTAGAAGAATGGATGGCCAATAAATAGTTAAAATTTAATGGAAAGAAATGCAAGTTTTATACAAATCAAAACAAAGGTTTGGCAGCAGTTGTAAAAAAAGAGGCTATATCGTATGTGCCTAAAACCTAATCATATGTGAATGAGCATTGTTATTTGCTACAAAAAGGACAATGTTATACAGGCTGTATCATTTCTGTTGAAATCACTTGTTGAGATGGGCCACCATATACATTGGAAAAATAAGCAACTTACAAGAAGTGATTGTTCTGTTTTATCCCATGTTAGTCTCCTGCCTTCATATTGAACCCAGTTCTAGACATAAAATGGGAACATGTTCAGGGAAGGTTGTCAGGATGATCAGAAACTAAAACTTACAAATAGAAGTTGAAAGAATTTGAAATGTTTAGCAACCAGATAAGGGTATGATCACATTCTTCAAAATGCCTGAAAGGATGTTATATACAAGTGATAGACTGATGGATTTAAGTTACAAGTAGTCAACCTTCACTGAATGTCAGACCAAAAACCCCTGGTAATTTTAGGAGCTATATAATTCCAAATAGTGGAATTCATTACCCAGAAAGGAGAAAGATTGATATATATCCTCCACTGGAGATATTCAGGAAAATGCCTGAACCATTATCTACTCTGGTTGCTTTAATGTGATTCCTGCACTGAAAAACAAAAGGGATGTAATGATTGAAATGTCCTCTCCCATGTTCATGTTTTTAGGTAGCACAGTATTTCCACTACTTTACCAAGTACTTTTGACATTTAAAAGTTTATTTTAAAAATAGGCTTGTACCTTTTCTGACTATATTCTGAAATACCTATATTAATTTATAAAAAGGCTTAGATTTTCGTAAGTGATGTTGAGAAAGCTTTCCGAAAGTTGATTTTTAAAAACGCAAATACCTCCACTAAGTTACTGATAAGGCAATAAGTCTGCTTTTCACTTGCTCTTATATTATGAAGGCTATTTGCACACAGACTACGCCCTGTAAAAAACTAATCACGTTCTGATACTCTTAAGGTGCAGAAAGCAGACCTATGAATCACCCTCTATTCCAGTCTCAAATTATGAATGGTTGCGGCTAATTTTCACCTTATCACCCCCCATCTCCCCCTTTGGAAATTTCAAGGGTGTGGAATTAAGTTAAGCCCAGAGCAGACAGCTTAAATCATTCCTAGCAACCATCGTGAAAAGTGTTTTAAATCTTAATAGACCGAGGGGGAAGAGGAGGAAGGGATAAACCGGGAGTGGTGAGGGTTGGTTGTGCTGCATAGTTTTTGCAATACTTGCACCTTTGTTTGGGACCCAGGGTGGCTTCAGGATTATAGGATAGTTGGAATGCCTTTGTAAGAAGCAAAAGAAGGAGAAGAAACAATGAGAGCATGCAGTTAGAATATTATGTTGGCATGACTGAGCTTGTGGCAGAAAAGTATCTCTTAGCATCTGTAGCAGACACCAGAAAGGAGGAAAAAGCATAATATTACATTAGAATCATTCAAATCAAGTAGAGATGTCTCAACATTTCCAAAACTTGTTGTGTGCTAACCAATATATTTACAGGAACATTAGCTTGGCCTACTTTCCTTCCATGTTGGGTGAAGTGAAATGTTAGAATGAATGGTTTGTGTGTTTGTGAGCATAGATGCATTGCTTCTTAAAAGTTTCGATAATTCTTAAGGAATTTCAAAATATAGTTCATCAGTTTTGCTTGGACTTTTCAAGTAATGCTTTGTTAAAATTTGATGAAATATCTTAAATATTAAAGAAGATTAAAAAAACATGGACATATTCAGACATACATAGAATTTTTGATATCTCTTTATGCATTTGATAAGAGTTCGCAGCTGCATGTGTGAAGAACTACAGCTGTC